GTCTCACTATGTTGCCCAGGCTAGTCTGGAACTCCAGGGCTCAAGAGATCCTCCTGCCTCAGTCTCCTGAGTATGAGACTACAGTAGGCATGAGCCACCAAGCCTGGCTCTCAAGTCCACTCTTATACAGATAAAGAATATTCAACACCAAATGTAAGCATAGACTCCTGTCTCAAAGTGATGGTGAAGCATGAACCAGTCAGGGAGCTGCCCTATGATGGTGGTGGTAGAGAATGGGCATGAAAGATCGTGTCAGTGACCTTACATTTAATCCTTTCCAGTGTAGTGTGGAGAGGCATGAAAGAGTCAGTGACTTTACAATTGATCCTGTCCAACGGTGTTGGGGTGTGTGGGGGGGCATGAAACAAAATGTGAGTGACCTCACAATAATTCCATCCAATGGTGATGGTGGGGGGGGCATGAAACAGAATCAGTGACCTAACAATCTTGTCCAAAGGTATTAGCTGAAGTAGAAGTTGGCGATCAGGAAACAACAGAGTCGGTGACCTAACAATCCTGTCTAAAGGTGTTCTCGGGAGTGGGGGTGAAAGATCAGGGTGGGATGGGAACCGGGTGCGGGGAGGGGGGCCATGAAACAGAGACAGTGACGTTACAATCAATACTGTCCAGTGGTGGGGGGCGGCCATGAAATAGAACCAGTGAGCTTATATTTAATTCTGTCCAAAGGTGGTGGTAGTGGTGGAGGCATAAAACAGTGAGTATAACTAAGTAGTAAACAGAACACGGAAATCAAAGTGTCAAGTTGCAGCAAACATCTCGAACTGTAGCAGCCGATCCAGGGAAGGCCTCTCGGAAAAGGTGCCTCCAGTTGACAGGGGTCTTGAGCAGCGCGCAGGATCGGATTCCCAGCGTGGGCTCTCAGCCTGCTCCAGCTCTCCTGGCACCTCGGCTACCTTTTGGCCGCGGAGAACCCAGCCAGGCGGGGTGGGGCGGGGGCCAGGAGCTGCTGTACTTGCTGGGCGGGGCTGAGTCCCACGAACGAGGGAGGGAGGCCCCGGCGCCGCGCCGCACCAAAGCACAGGAAAGCTAGGGCGGTGGCGACAGCCAATCAGCGGCGGGCGCGTGCGGCCACGCGCCCCTCGCGCCCCTCGCGCCCCTCGCGCGCCGCGTACGTGCAGCAACTAGCTCCGCCCCTCTGGGCGCAGCCTAGGGGAGCCGCGG